GCTGCAGCAGCAACTCTTCGACTCATACTAGTTCCCAGTACAAACCGTTCCCTGAGAGCTGCAGCCTCAGTCAAGCTGTCTCTAGCTCTTTCTAGCCCCTCTGTTATGTATAGACTGACCTGAAGGAGACAGGATGGGGTTATGCAACGAGTAGGTGATGTGGATATCCAGCAGAAAAGAAGATCCAAAATTAAAACGCAGGCTTAACTTACCTGGTCTAGAAGGCACGTAAAAACAGCTCTTACATTAGCTGCAAGGGTAGCAGGCTGCACGATGACAAGATAATGAGTAAAAAGCATTTGAAGATCAAAAAACTCAGAAAGAGGAATCATATAAATGTTTTATGTCAGATTCCATGGGAACTTGATAAGATAATTTTACATTTGTGGTACGTACAGTTAACCGTTAAAAATAAATAAAAGCAAGCCAACACAACTTTACGTTTTTCTTTGATAATTTTCATTCACAGTGACAATGTGGAAGAATTGCGTGTAATAAAAAAATGCAAGAAGCTATCTGGTGTAACTTAGCAAGTTGAAATATGCTTTACTCTATGTTGCCGAGCTTGATAGTCCTAGTATCTAAGGGTGGCCCAGTATTCTTTAAAATTTAAGGTCAACTTGTGGAATAAACATAGGCCAATCATGATAAGCTACAGGTGCAATGATAAGCAACAGCAAACCCATGTTTAAGATGCAGCTAACAGTGCAGGAGGAAGCATAAAATTGGAACACGAGAAATGAATTTAGTTATTAGGCACAAAAATTTCAACAAAGGTTTGAGACAAGCTCCATGAAATTGGGGAGGCATAGCTAGAAATACTATCCATAATGGATCGATAGACACATTGCATATGTCCAAACTATCTCAAATATTTGAAAAGACTGATCCTGCAGAAAAATTTTGGATTGCAATAATCTTGGAAGAGACAAGTAGAAAAGCTACATGCAAATTTCTTTTGAGTAAGCTTCTCCACATAGCAAAAGACTGCAAAGCCCTATTTGCATTGCTCAATAATTCATTTTAGAGGGCCGTGCGATCTACCAATAAGTGAGAAGAAGACTTCATCCCCTCCCCAATCCACCACGTACATCCCCATTCAGTGCTTCCTACAAGTCAACCACCATCTCCATCACTTTAATGTGACCATAAAGCACCAAACCCAAGCATCACTCCAGTCAGAAGTACTGGGTAATACCCCCACTCCCATCATACAGAGCAGCCCAAATCTAGTTTGATAATTGATTTGTATAAAATACCGAAAAATTGGACAGAAATTTGTCAAGTTGGCTTAAAAAATGCTTTTTGTCGAGTTTCTAATTCATATTGGATTACCTCATTGAATCTGAGGCCACAGCCACAATGGTATGAACCTCTGCCCCAATGATGAAATTAACACGAAGCATAGAAAATATTGTACCTGTGATGAGAACAGATTGCATCGAGAGATTGCTTCTTCATTCCAGCGCACAAACTCGGTCACTACAGTGACAGATATCTGTTGGTGGGACGATGCTATGGAAGCACCTTTTGAGCGCCCGATTGTTCCTGTAGACTCATTTGACTGCTGGGTTTCAGCACGTAGTTCCTCCATCTGCATCGTAGCACCAATTTATGATTGTAAAAGAGAATATATGAAAAACAGGTATAGATATGAGCTCTATCTCAAGAAGAGCAGCTTAAAAGATGAAGTTAGAGATGAAGAGAGGAACAGTGAGTTTCACTCAAACCTTTGATTTATATAGCTGCCTAAGAGATGCCTGCTCATACTCGATATATATATCTTTATGGGCAAGAAAGAGAGACTCTGTTAGGCCTGTACAACAGATAAAACTGCTTTATTTAAGACAATGAAATAAATGATAGCACCTACTACACATATATACAACAATTCTCAAAACTAAAAACAGGTGTATGGTTAAGCAAAATGTGAAATATACAACAAAGAATAGGCTTGTATCCATGTGACCAGAAGAAGATTAACCAAGTCATAATTTCACCATTATACAAACTAACAGTATTTAATTAAGAGAAAAGAGAGGATAAAACTAAAATTTCGAAACCAAATATCTTTAATTTACGAGAGGAACAGTGAGTTTCACTCAAACCTTTGATTTATATAGCTGCCTAAGAGATGCCTGCTCATACTCGATATATATATCTTTATGGGCATGAAAGAGAGACTCTGTTAGGCCTGTACAACAGATAAAACTGCTTTATTTAAGACAATGAAATAAATGATAGCACCTACTACACATCTATACAATAATTCTCAAAACTAAAAACAGGTGTATGGTTAAGCAAAATGTGAAATATACAACAAAGAATAGGCTTGTATCCATGTGACCAGAAGAAGATTAACCAAGTCATAATTTCACCATTATACAAACTAACAGTATTTAATTAAGAGAAAAGAGAGGATAAAACTAAAATTTCGAAACCAAATATCTTTAATTTACTGTATTGCTTGGAGAAACAAGAGAGTGAAAGTGAAAATGTAAGAGTTATCAAGTGAAAATTCCTCCTGGTCTACAAAAAATAAGCTAAAAAGTTGTTGCAATCTAAAGGATGGAGTGGTAGTAAAAATTGAACAATACAGATTGCTTAAGCTACAATTATTTAAAGAGAAAGCATGTGATTATTTTTGGCTCCACCTCTTCATAATCTAATGGACACACAACTTCTGAAGCTTCCTTTTTGTTTCACTTTCATCAGTTTACCATCAGTGTCCAAGTTATTAAAATTTTTGTCATAGGCACTATTAAGTTTACTATTTCGCACAATGTCCACCAAGACTACAAAGCCGTTTCCGACAAGCGAGTCAAATTAAAATCTTCACCTTTTGAGTTAACATACTACAGCTCAAGCTTTTCCTGAAGATATGCCATTTCAATACAAAGCTCCTTAATTACAAGCATCGTTAGGCAGACTATTAGAATAGTACAATGATAGTATCCACTAGTATTGTTCAGATGAACCTAACTAGTGGCTAAAATTTCTTCCACAATTTTTCCTCTAGTTATGCTCTTTCTCGTCCTAAATCTATCTTCATACACATAAAACTGACTAGCGCCTATAAACAGATCTCAAGTACACATTTTTAAGTGCAAACCAAGAGCTCAGACCATAGTCACCTATCTTTTTTACTAGAAGCACAAGTCTTCATCCTCCCAATCGAGCCAAGTTAGAGAGTTTCTCCAGCTTTTGCTGAGCTTTTAAAAATGGCCACCACAATTTGTGCACCACCTTTCAAGATGGTATGTTACAGAAGCGTCTGATTATACTTTATCCTAAAAGTCCGTGGCTTCATTGACATTCAAAACCAAAGCCTTCCCAACACATCATTTGACAATCGGCAGCTATAATCCCACTCAAGATCAAAACTTAAAGGCTCTTCTGCTCAATGGAAGGTTTATTAACCACAAAGTAAAGGTAACAAAAGCCAAGCTGGCTTTGGCAACACTAAATGCACTACAAATAAGTTCTAAATTCAGCTATCAGATTAGCAGAACACTGTATCTTTACAATATCAGCAAGTTAACACCATCAATCTTGTGTAGAATTAAAGGAGTTAATTCTGTAGGGCAGATCCGAGTGATCTAGAATTGATTTTCACATGTCATATGGATTTATGTAATTATATTTAGCTGTATTAGTTTCATATTTTTGTCTTATTTGGTTAGATATGTTAGACATATTAATTTCCTAAATTAGTGACCAGAATCAAGGAATGTGAATCAGCATATAATTTCTCTTCCTGTACTTGTATATATTCAGCATTCTCTGTGATTAATAAAAACAAGTTATTTCACCATCTTATTCTAAAATCTTGGTTACACAAGACCATGCAGATAACATATACTCTTCTGATTGAGGAGAACCAACAAATCAAAGCAGCAAAATTGGCCCCTATCTTAATCAATTCACATACGTTGAACAAGGTATCACATAGCGATTCAATTGTGTTTCTGAGTTAAAGATTAAGGTATGTCTCCACAAGGACTATCAAAAGTTCTAATTTTTACCTTCAACATCTAAGTCACCACACCCTACACCACGTAAATCTTTAGCAAGCTCCTGCGTCTTCTCATATGCCACTGCTAGCATTCTAAGATACTGATATCACGGCAAACACAGTAAAGTGAGGTTAACATACCATCAACATCAAATTCACGATAATGTTACTAGACAGTTTGTAGCCTCGTCAATGTCACTCACCAATATAAGTCCACCTTCTTCCATGGGTGGTGGATTAACGAGAGAGGGTTTCATCAACAACTTCTCAAGAAGTTTGGGAACTCTGTCTTCCAGCACTCTCTGTAGGCAAGGATAGAATACCAATCACAATTTTAATACCACCAACCAATCTTACCCACAATCACAAGTCCAAACCTTCAGGAGTTGCCCTCCCTCAAATGAAATAGTAAAGGGCTAACATGGAAATACCTGGACCAATATTGACATGACATCATCTGGAGAGGGAAACACAGCCATTATCGTGGCTGCCTCTTTCCTCACAGTTTCTGCAGGCAAGTCGTTAAAATTGAAATGATAATGTTATAGCCAACTGTGACTTGATACAAGTAGTCTAGATAAATGGAATCATCCAAACCTATAATCTCTTTGTATAATGAAGAGAGACCACTCGCTACATTGCTAGGACTAGGTTGGGAACCAGGGTCACCAAGAACCAATCTAGTGTCAGCATTCATAACCTCCAAATCAAACATAGGACGTAATCCCACATAGTGTTGCATAGCACTGGTACCCCTGTTAAACTGAGTTGTAAAAAAAAAACATGAGAGGAGGGAGGGAAATTTTTTTGATATAATATTTCATTATGATTTATCACAAGAAGCCAATAATAAGAGCAAATAATTGAAGCAATCTGTCGAGGAAAATGGCATGAACTTAATCGTATTGAACGAACTAAGGAAGTACAAAAAGCAATTTGAGATAGGTGGAATAGGGCTTTCGAGTGCAACCTTCCATGACAATCAATTAGACAAGAATCCATTCAAGGAAATGAGGACTCATACATACAAAAGTATAACTTCCATAGATCATAAGTACCTTCTCCAAACTCACCTCAACAAAAAGAAAAACTATATCATCTTAATTACAAATATGATGCACTAAAACTAAGAATCTGATGAAGGCTAGTTTCTTTTTCCTTCTAAATTAGAATGTTTTAAGTTCCCTATGTAAATCTTACATAACATTTTTGCAGTAAAGAAATAAACTTTTTTTCGCAACAGCTAAATTTTGAATAGTTTACCTGCGACAAAATTTTTGCACACTCTGCCATTGTAGATAGTTCCCTTCTTTGTGATGCTGCATCAAATCTGGCCAACAATCTATTCTCCAGTTCTACAAAGCCATTGAAAAATGATTAATATATAATCTATAAAAAAGATAACAAACTAAACCGTATTCTAATAATATATCATTTATAATTGATAAAAAATTCAAAATCATTGAGAAAATGCAAAACAAAGACCCCTTATCTCTGATTGGATTTCCTTTTCCAACTGCATACTATTCCAAGAAAGCCATTTTGGAGCTCATTTATGTTGGGTATAATGCATAACTTTTTAGATTTCATAATGGATATTGCATCCAGTGCATTTTTAGAGAAAAACAGGAAAAAGAACATTAACATATCCCAAGCCGACAAAGATATAAGAAAAATGGCAAAACATACGAGGTTAGTATCTGAAATCCTGACAACTTATAATTGCAAAACTCAGCAATTGTCTTGAAGTAATGCATATTAAATAAAGTGATACTCAGTGTCTTTAACCATAAAACAGGAGAAAGGAGAAAGTGATGTATCTTATTACAAGGTTTTTTCCTTCTATGTTTAGTTGAACATTTAATTTGTGCGCATGATTATTCATGCATCTTGGGCAGAAAGATTAAAGCACGGTGATCCTCCAAACATATAATAACCTGATCAAATTAAATAAAGCTTTACATCCATCAGATCATTCTCAAAGAATTTTTCCAGCCATGCCGAAATCTAGATATATTGGAATTAGATTCTAAATAAGGTGTATATGCTCTTCCTTTGACATCACAAACAACTGAGCAAATTTGGCTGTCTTACAAGAATAGAGATGCTGCAAAAGCTATTAGCTTGCAGAATTTGCAAAGTTATTGATATCATTTCCATTTTAGTGGTCTGTCAAGTCGGTTTAGTCAATTAGGTATTGACTCCGCTAAAACTGATGTTTTATGCCAAATTTGTTAGATACATTATGAGGGTATTTGACACCCATTTTTAAGGAAAAATCAATTTTAGAATAGTAATTGATGGAGAATGTGTGGATGAAAAGATTTTGATTTATATGTAATATTATTTTAATGAAGAATGTGTGGTTGAAAATAAGAGAGAGAAGAATGCATTTTGAGAAAAATGGGAATCAAACGGAGCCTATAGCTTAAGCTTTTAGATAGGTGGTTCTACATAATTTATATTTGGATATATAATATGAGCTTTACTCAGACAAAGTGGGTGCCAGCCTTTGGAATCAGACTGAAGCCAGTTTGCTTTGGCTCTTCCTTGCATTTTGCTCATCTGTGATCTAACAAACATGCCCCAGAAAGATAGGATTTTTTTAATCCATAGTAAAATGATACCCATAATCGAACTAAACTCAAGGAAAATCAATCAGACAAAATCAGATTAACTTTAAAAGTGCATAATACATCATTAGGAAGACAGGATATCTGAAAGAACGCTTTTTGCTCGTCATTGCACCGTCTCACAAACTAAATATTTGGTGATGGTTATTATTAAATGATTTTCCATACATATTTCATTAACATTTATTCATTGAGAACATTCATACATTTCTCTTTTCCTCCTTTTTTTGTTGACAAGTAGAGAATGTGCCCAGCTACATGACTTGTACTTCTTAAATATATCAAACACTAAGCATGGCATGATATTAACTATAAGAGAGAAGACTACACAACTCCACAGGTTTTTGAACAATGAGCAAGTCCCATTTAGATAGACATTACAACAACAATTTCAGGCCTGAAGAACGTTACTCAAATATTCCCCTTTTGCAAAAAAAAATAAAATAAAATAAAAAATAAAAAGGTATTCTGTTTGCTTCTTTTGCAAGTAGACTGCTATACTTCCTTGAGAGTAGCCCAAAAATTTGTCAGCTCTGGTGAATCCAACTAATACCGTCAAGTGTCAACCGCACAAAAATAATCAAACATACCATTGCAATATTCTTGGAGGTTAGCAACAGCAACTTCCAATCCTCTGCTTGCAGTTGCATTCCCAACAACTGACGAGACAGCCATGCTTTGTCTTCCAATATCTTCCTCAGCAAATGATCCTAAAATCGAGCTTATTAGAAAAAAATGTTTTTAGCTTTTCAAAATCAAAGAAAGAATTAAGATTTTCTCTGCAGCTCATCTAAGAATGTGGTCACAATCCAGGTTCCTAATCCTCTATCAATTTTTTTATTTTTTATTTTTTAATTACTGAAATTGATTATTTTACTCTCAACTCTAAGGATCAAGTCATTACTATCATAATGCTACACCACGAGTTATATACTCTTGTAAGCAAATAGAAGCCAGGATACAATTGACAGATTATGATGGATAGACCTTTGTGGGCCACTTGTTGACAATTGAATACGTCAGGCATTTAAGTTTGGACAAAAAATGTTCATACATGCGCATCAGTTAACCCCATAATCAATCATTTTGGACAGCATATAACTCCATGGATTGGTTCAAAATTACAACAAGATCCCAAAGAAAATTGCGACATGTTTACATCTTCAATCATATAGAAAGAGAAAAACGTGAGGTTACTTCTGAAATTAAAAGTTCTCCAATGGATTCCATAGAAATTCCATTTTCTTTACGAAATTAACTTCACTAAAAACATCATAACTTTTACAATAGCAATAAATGCCAATCAGAACTTCAACAGTAGATTCATTTTGTTTAGCCATGTAAAGAAGGAATTTTAAACCAAAACAAAGACTTAAGAACGTGACACTGACAATCAATAGATTTGGTAAATATGTATTCTGTTCACTAATTTTAGAAGCAAAAAGGAAGGTACAAAAAATCCTTACTGCAGATTCATTTTGCTTAGCCATTTTAAGACAAGATGAAAAAAGATAACAAAAAATTTATAAAGGTGACAACCCATGGCATTGATATGTACTTCATTCACTGGTTCAAGGAGCCAAAAAACAGGTATAAAACAAATAAAAAATCCTTGCAGTAATGGATACTAGGAACAACAACATTGTACATTTGCGCAACTCTTATCAAAGAAAGGCCATCTTACTCAATTTCTGTGCAATGGAAGCAGCCTCAGCGACGCGACTGTCATCAGAGAACAAAGGTGAAAGTTCCATTAGGTCGCCCGGACTACTATTGAATTCCATCAAGTACTGCACATTGAGAATCAATGAAATAATTTTTGCACAACACATAGCTAACCATCACCTGAATGGATTGAAAGCTACCTTCATATGCCTATGTATAAAAAATTTACCTTTATGAGATCTATCGTTTGACTTGCGGTTTCCCGCTGAGCATCTGCACTCTGAAGAATATATGTGAAAAAAAAGTAAGATGTGTGATTGTATATCATCCAAGATTGTAATCAATAAAGAAATTTGAGATACATCAAGCTTAAGCCGGAAAAACAAGAGCCAGTTTTTATGTGTCGGATAGTTTTAAGTACAATTAACTTTTTATAAGCATTATATTCGATATATATAACTAGTGAAAAGACAAAAAGACAAGACAAGTGAAAGAGAGTCTCAGTGTAACATTTACAGTTCGCGCACGACGCATTATTTCTTGAAGGCTTCTGAGGATTTGTTACATTAACCTTTCAGGAATTTTTTCTTTCTGCATCAGGTCTTCTGATGAACATGGAAACTAGAGCGGTAGTGTGTATTAAAGATTTACCAGATTTGTTCAGGAATTGGGATCAAGATTCGGCAGCTCTATAGCCTTTGGAGCTAATCCTATATCCAAAGAATTTTGTTCCTGGCTAATTGAGAGGGTTAAGAAAAGGTTAGATGGTCTCTGTCAGTATTATCGAACATTCCTATATGCACATGTTGCTTATCAGAAAGTCAGGCAAGGTCATGTTCTATTAGAAAACTAACAAGAGATATTTTGTGGGTTGACGAGGAAGTAGCAAAAAGAACCGCGTGGTTGATTGGGACATTGTTCATAGAAGTAACAGTGGAGGCCTAGAGATTGTTTGGGAATGGATATCATCGTGAACTGTGATGAAATTTTGGCTCTGACAGGAAAGTGGTTTAGGAGATTCCACTTGGAACAATCTTATTTGAGGGGAAGGGTCGTAAGGAGCAAACCTGGTCTGTACCCAAATGGAAGGTGACCTAAAAAAACATGTCAGGATAATTCAGAAACTCCTTAAAGTTTATATCTCAGGGATATCTCATTTATCAGGTTCACAAAATGGAACATGGTGTGAGGGATAAGATTTGGTTCTGAGATGATGTTTCAAATGGGAATGTTTCTTTTGCATTGTTGTTTTCCAAGTCTTACAATATATCCTTGCTTAGAAATATTCTGGTAATTCAGACTTGCCTAGCTATTCTTGAAAATATTTTTATCAAGGGTCATCATTCAGATAAAGATTGTTAACAGTCGAGTCCTTGGCTATATTTTCCTATAACTCATATTGACCAAAATTTGAGCCGCCAACCCTACCTTAGAATCTTCAAAATTCATTTGGAAACCATGTATCCCTTCCCAGAAAAAAAAAAAAAAAAATGTTTTCTTGGCAAGGTTTTCATAGAATAATCAAACTTGTGATTTAGTTCAATAGAAATGTCCAAATCTTTTCTTTTTTCTTCCACTGTGTGTAATGGAAAGAATTTGGAAAGCATTGATTATCTGTTTGGAGATTATGAAGTAACAATGCTATGGGCAGATTTTTCCAAGATTTAGCTTGGTGGTTTCACAGAAGACGCAGCAGAATATTATTCTTTGAAATGCCAATTGATTTCAGTTCAGGAAAGAATTATAGAGGAAAGCAGTGTATCAGCCATTCACACCCTCCATAAATCTAAACATAATTCTTTGAATAATAAATTTCACTATTAAACATTACAAACGGGTGATTAAGCATTAGACAAAATTTACCTGCAGATGATCTCCTATTTTAGCAGCGGTCTGGCCAACACTTGATATACGAGAATCCAACCTTGCAAAACTAGTAAACAATCCATCGACATCTTTTTCCAGCTGCCAAATAAAGCACAGAAAACAAAAATATTTACAAGGTTGCACTTGTAATTGTATCCCATATATATATATATATATATATATATCAAGAAACTTCCACAGCATTATCTGCTAATACTTACAAACCGAGAACAGGTGGAAACTAGCTTCCAATGATATATAGTTTTTTTCAACTCCATACATTGTAATTTAGTTGGTGTTTTTCTATTTTCTCCTCCATTGTCACGTGAGAAAAAAAAAGCATCTAAGACAGGGATTTTCAGTGTTCTGTTGTAGCAGATATTATTAACTGACCAAAGTGTCAACACCAGAAGTCTTATTATGCATGATGATCAAGTCGAAAAATAGTTCTTAGTAACTGTAATTTCATAATTTTTTTTCAACGGATCCAAAGATGTGGAATGTATAGATCTAGCAGGTAACACAAAGATATTTTTGGATCACCTGGCTGTCTGGTGACGTTTTCCGTTCAGATGGATAAATGTTTCACAACGAAGTTTCAGAATATTTAGCAGGCATCAATGCACAGGAAACATACTCATGTACATTAAAAACCAATACCTATAATGTCTGAACAAACTAACCTCAGTAAGTGTTTTCCGGTGTCTAGAGTCCTGAGCAGCAACTTCCTTTTTGAGGTTTGAGAGTTTCCCATCAACCTTTGAACAATCATTAAGAAAATTAGGAAGCGTTACAGTAGATTATATATATTCAAAAAAGTTCATCGTGAAGTCCAAATTAAACACCTCTTTTCTGAGATCGATCAATTGTGTACACGAGTTCTTAAACAACGATAGTAGAGCATCTACTTCAGGAAACAATGGACTTGATAGTTGTAGTGCTGATTTTCCAGTGTCAGATGGAGTTCGTAAGTGACCATTTGGCATAACATCATTGCCACCGTGCCCTTCCAAGGCATCGGTTTCTTCTTCCAGATGAGAAGGCAGCAACTCGTTTACTAAATTTCCGAACAAGGCATCAAATGAAAAGTTGCCCTGCAGGATCCAAATTGCTAGCAATTGTTAACTGTAGAAGGAAAATTTATTCATACACATGCATTAAGATTGTGTTGGAGGCATCACCTTGAAGTCCTCTATGTCCAAAACAAGTGGATAGGAGTCAGTTGATACCGACTTAGATGCCGGTTTTGAAAACCTATTGGTCTTCCTTCCATCTTTACTCTCATTCATCTAATACATAAACAACGTATGAGAAACCAAAAAAGGTACAAGTTTGGTATCAGTTACTAACACTTGAAGACCGGTCATTATTAATTTAATCGAATTCAAGAGGGAATGGTGTTTATCGCCAAGCAAACAAAGCTTATCAAATATTGACTGTGAACCAACAGCTGAGCACAATTATATGCAATATTAAAAATGGATCATGACATGAATTTTCGAAATGTGGTTTATATTTCGCATCACGACATTTACACTAATTGTTAACCTCCAATTAGTATTCCATAAGTGTCAAATCTGCAAAAATGGCTGCGTTTGAATTTTTGGCTTAAATCTATCAATCATTCTACTTGTACAATATTTTTTACAACTTGGTTTACAATGCATGACTTGGCAAACATCACATCCATTTATTTGAGATACTGTTTTTAAAATCAATGACTGGGATTTTTCCAATTATGCATGATGATCAAGTCGAAAAATAGTTCTTAGTAACTGTAATTTCATAATTTTTTTTCAACGGATCCAAAGATGTGGAATGTATAGATCTAGCTGGTAACACAAAGATATTTTTGGATCCCCTGGCTGTCTGGTGACGTTTTCCATTCAGAAGGATAAATGTTTCACAACGAAGTTTCAGAATATTTAGCAGACATCAATGCACAGGAAACATACTCATGTACATTAAAAACCAATACCTATAATGTCTGAACAAACTAACCTCAGTAAGTGTTTTCCGGTGTCTAGAGTCCTGAGCAGCAACTTCCTTTTTGAGGTTTGAGAGTTTCCCATCAACCTTTGAACAATCATTAAGAAAATTAGGAAGCGTTACAGTAGATTATATATATTCAAAAAAGTTCATCGTGAAGTCCAAATTAAACACCTCTTTTCTGAGATCGATCAATTGTGTACACGAGTTCTTAAACAACAATAGTAGAGCATCTACTTCAGGAAACAATGGACTTGATAGTTCTAGTGCTGATTTTCCAGTGTCAGATGGAGTTCGTAAGTGACCATTTGGCATAACATCATTGCCACCGTGCCCTTCCAAGGCATCAGTTTCTTCTTCTAGATGAGAAGGCAGCAACTCGTTTACTAAATTTCCAAACAAGGCATCAAATGAAAAGTTGCCCTGCAGGATCCAAATTGCTAGCAATTGTTAACTGTAGAAGGAAGACTTATTCGTACACATGCATTAAGATTGTGTTGGAGGCATCACCTTGAAGTCCTCTATGTCCAAAACAAGTGGATAGGAGTCAGTTGATACCGACTTAGATGCCGGTTTTGAAAACCTATTGGTCTTCCTTCCATCTTTACTCTCATTCATCTAATACATAAACAACGTATGAGAAACCAAAAAAGGTACAAGTTTGGTATCAGTTACTAACACTTGAAGACCGGTCATTATTAATTTAATCGAATTCAAGAGGGAATGGTGTTTATCGCCAAGCAAACAAAGCTTATCAAATATTGACTGTGAACCAACAGCTGAGCACAATTATATGCAATATTAAAAATGGATCATGACATGAATTTTCGAAATGTGGTTTATATTTCGCATCACGACAGTTACACTAATTGTTAACCTCCAATTAGTATTCCATAAGTGTCAAATCTGCAAAAATGGCTGCGTTTGAATTTTTGGCTTAAATCTATCAATCATGCTACTTGTACAATGTTTTTTACAACTTGGTTTACAGTGCATGACTTGGCAAACATCACATCCATTTATTTGAGATACTGTTTTTAAAATCAATGACTGGGATTTTTCCAACACACATGTTGTCAATCAAGTTGTGCAAATACATTGTACAAGTGGCTTTATTCATTATGTTGACACCTAAAACCAAATCAAAATGTCCAACCAAAATGGACATTTCAATTAATCGGTCCCTTAGTTTGATTCATAACTGAACTGCAGTTATTGCTTGTAATTATTTTGAGCTAAAAACGTCAACCTCGTTTACATAAACAAATTTAAATTTTTACACTAATTGTTAACCTCCAATTAGTATTCCATAAGTGTCAAATCTGCAAAAATGGCTGCGTTTGAATTTTTGGCTTAAATCTATCAATCATTCTACTTGTACAATATTTTTTACAACTTGGTTTACAATGCATGACTTGGCAAACATCACATCCATTTATTTGAGATACTGTTTTTAAAATCAATGACTGGGATTTTTCCAAAACACATGTTGTCAATCAAGTTGTGCAAATACATTGTACAAGTGGCTTTATTCATTATGTTGACACCTAAAACCAAATCAAAATGTCCAACCAAAATGGACATTTCAATTAATCGGTCCCTTAGTGTGATTCATAACTGAACTGCAGTTATTGCTTGTAATTATTTTGAGCTAAAAACGTCAACCTCGTTTACATAAACAAATTTAAATGAGAATTGAGCAAAATGTCGAAATTTTCTACTCATTTCAATGGAAATCAACTCTACAACTATAATTGTTCAATAACAGAAATTTGTACCGCCGATCTAATCTAGTTCTCACGCATTCATTAAAGCAAAAATGTGTGCATATCCATACATATACGTATAACGCGTACGAAAAGCTATAACACAAAAAGTGGAAATGTTACCTTTTTAGTGATTGAATGAGAATGAGATACCGATCTGTACCAAATAATTAAGCTCTGATTTTTGTTTTCTAAAAAGAATTCCCCTTTCTGTTATGCTTCGTCGAATTGGGCGAGAGAGGGAGCAGACTATCTCTGTGAAGACTACGAGGAAAAATACAGGTGATACGAGGAGAAATACAGGTGATTGATCGTAGTGACGATTTTCTCCCCCATTAACACAACGTATTTATTTCTTTTCCATTGGATATATATAGAGCTTGTTTGGTTAAGCTTAAATTCAATTAAAATTAATTTTTTGATCATTATTTCACTATTCAAACCATCATTTTTTAATTTTTTTCACAAGAACGACTCACTTTATCTCCAACGATTAAAAAATTAATTATTAAAATCCCTACTAAACAAGCACATAATGCTCGATCCCTATCCCAGTGAGAATGCCTTAGAATACTATTATGCCTAAATTTAGGGTGTGTTTGTCATCCATTATTTGGGAAGAATGTATTATAGAATAGTGATTGATATTGAAATGTGTGGTTAAAAAAGAAAGAAAAGTTTTTTATTTGCGTGTAATATTATTTTAATGAAAAATGTATAGTTGAAAATGAATACTGTAGAAAAATAATGAAAAAGAATGAAAGAAAATGGATGACAAACAGAACTTGAATTTTTTTCTTTTTATTTTTAATCACACATTCTTTAATAAATAATGTGGCTCAAATATGCTCATAATTTCAATGGGCCTAATACGAGCTAAAGAAATAATGTTGTGTTTGGTGGTGATTAATATTTAGTTTTAATTTAAATTAAAATTAAAATATAATAATTAATTTTAATTGTATATTTTATGAAATTTATAATTTTACAATCATATATTTCATTAAAATTTATTAAAAAATTAATTTTAATTCCCATCAGATTTTTTCAACACTCTATTTAATCCTTAATTTAGGGATTTTGCAACAAAAGTTCATAACTTTCATAAAAGTATAATGTGATCCTATACCTTTAAGTTGTAGAGGTCCTCTGGACGGTTATTATCCAAAAATTCATATAAAAAGTCAAGAGTATGACCATATTCTGATTAAATTCAAAGAGGGCAAAATAATCTTTTTAACCTTTAATTAATTACTTGCAGCAAAGGTCCCAGATCTTTCAAAAATGCAACGTGATCCCAGAAATTTAATAAGCCCTTGTTTGAGCCCCATTTTTAAGAAAGAATTAATTTTTGAATAGTGTATTGATGAGAAATGTGTAATTAAAAAATAAGGAAAAGTTTTGAATTTACATGTAATATTATTTTATTAAAATTTGTGTTGTTGAAATTATGTTAAAACACTATTGAAAAATACATTTTTGCAAAAGAATGGTGCTCAAACAAGGGCTAAATATGCGATAGAAAGACCTCGGACAGTTTCAATCCGAAAATTCATGCCTTTTTCGAATAAGCCAATTCATTTGGGACCTTGCAGATCCGCTCTTTTTCCTATTCAAAGATCAGCCCCCTGGCTCTGTGTTTTCACATCTAGAATTATTTGCAGATGAAGAAATGTCAAAGGGGCTTCTTACTTTCCAAACAGATCCTCCTACATCTATATATAAACGCCGATTTATCAAGAATACATAAGAAAAGCACTTCGAATTGTTGATTAATCGTCAAAGATGACTTAGAACCAATAGTTCATTATCTAATGGATCTTTCCGTTCTAATACTCTATCCGAGAGTTATTAGTATTTATCAAATCTGTTCCTATCTAACGGAACGCTGTTAGATCAAATGACAAAGACATTGTTGAAAAAAAGATGGCTTTTCCCGGATGAAATGAAAATTGGATTCATGTAACAGGACAAAGATTTCCCATTCCTTAGCCGGAAATGTATGTGGCCATAAAAGAGAAAGAGGGATTAAGTTGAACAGAATTGACTGGATGGTAGAGTCGTGGGAACGCTTCTTTCTTCCATATTTTATTTCAAAATTTGACATATTTTTAAAAAGGCAGAACGATAGCTTAACATTTAATTAACTAAAACAAGGGATTTTACAATAAAGGATCCAAATCTTTCAAAAATGAGAAGTGCAATCCCAAATCTTTAATAAATGTGCATCAAAAGGATCTCTAGCAATTTCATTCAAAATTTGCTGATTGATTAAAACTCAAATGTGCGACCTTAATTTGATCAATTTAAAGAAATGTAAACCTCGTAAGCTTGGCTTTTGTAACAAGTAAACCAACATTAGGATTAAATGTACGTGCATGGGTCTTCCACGGTCTATATCTACACTTCCCAGCGCATTGAAATGGATTAAAAAAGAAAGTCGGGGTACATCTTGGCATAACAAAGCTAAGCGTATTGTACTTACTACAACCGTTTACTACATTTGGATAACAAGGAATGGAAAGATTTTTGACGATCTTAAATCGCAAATTAATAATATTGTTCAACAGATCAAAACATACATAGATAAAGTCATGTTTTCTTTGTATTCGAATGTTTTAATTTGATATGAGTCGTTAGCTATATATCTCTAGGTCATATTGGTTGTTCCTTCTTATTTTCACCTTATTTTGCCCAAATATGCCCGGTGTGGTTTTTTATGCATTTGATTTGAATTTGTAAGCTTAGGAATACTCGGTGTATTTGTTCATGATTTTGGTCAATATATTCACATTTACAGATAAAAAAAGAAAAAAAAGTCCAGTGTACCATTATCAAATACATGCAATAGACATGTTCGTCTAGGTTGTAGTCATCCTATGCCCACTTCTAGCATTATGTGTGCACAAGATGCGTACATACTATAGTCATCAACTTGGCTTGAGACAGTGCACTTTGCCTAGATTTGTCTCCCTCCATTGGATGTACTAATTTAAAGTGGATCTCGAGTCTCTTTTTCATAGGATTTTTTGTTTCTACTATCAACTTGATTGTTAACTTTTATTTGCAACTTTGACAAACAAAGAGTTATAATTGAAAGAAAAATTTATTCAACTACAAGTAATTTTTTAAGCTTAGCCAAACGTGCACAATAGAGAGGAAAGAACACCAGTTGAAAGGATTTGAAAGAAAAACACCAAAATGATGAACAGAACTTTATTTAGTTCTATACACATCACAAAATACTGAATATACAGTCATCAAGGAGATATACAGTTCACAGAACCAACAAAAAGAAGAGAAAAGGTTCATGTATTATGGAAACCAACTAGCAGATTATACACGCATTTGGATTCTCTTCCATGCTGGGGTGCACGTAGTACTGCATATGCATTGGAGGATAATACGGTCTATATGGCGTAATTGTGCCTACCACGGGTTCTGGTGCCGGCGCCGGTGCCAGTGCCAGTACCGGAGCCGGAACTGGGGCTGGTGCTGGTGCTAGGGCCCGGGCCGGCTCTGCCTTCTTCTCTTCTTCTTTCTTCGGTTCATCTTTCTTTGTTTCTTCCTTTTTTGGGTCATCTTTCTTTGTTTCTCCCTTGGCTTCATCTTTCTTCGGCTCCTCCTTCTTTGGTTCTTCTTTCTTTGGCTCCTCTTTCTTCTGGGGCTCCTTTGCCGGTCCTACAGAGATAATGCCTGCTGGCAAATTTTTCTTGCGCAACTTGCTCACCACGCTCACAGGATCAACCGTTCCTAGGATTGTTAATTTTTTCCCCTTCACGTCGATTGTAATTTCGTCAATTCCTACCAAAGAAAGGTAAAAAGGTTGAAAACAAAGCAGTATCTGATATTGGATACACTAGTTTTCGGAAAGACAAAAGGGGAAATTTATTCAAACAACCGAACAACAATTGTGGTTTTGGCAAAGTCTCAAAAACTTAATCTCTTGCTATTAGTTCGGCAACTGAATACATGTAATCCGATGATCTCTATCCATAACGGGAGGGTAAAGCACCCACCTTATTTATTCCTACCCAAGGCTACTGATATATTTTTCTCTGATTCCTTAAAAGGTAACCATTAAATCCGTTAAATAATAATGCAAGAACCAAGAATCAGACATGGATAGACAGAGGGCAAAGGCGGCTCCTGCACATCTTTCACTTTATTCATTAAACAATAATGCAAGAACTAAACCTTACTACTTTTCAAGAAAAAATTTCAACAATTTCTCTTTATCAGCAGTTTCAAACCAGTATCTTGCTTATTGGAAAATTTTAAACGAAAATGAAAACTGAAAATCGTACCTGATTGTTTCTAGAAAATCAGCAAATATGTAACTTTGAAAAGCCGTTGGATATGAAGACTTCTAGAGTAAATTACATGCAGAGTATTTCCAGAGTGTATGTAAGCAGCTACTTAATGTTTTTCATACAAAATGAGGTGTAAAAAAGATAGATGAAATTTTTATTATTATTTGGTTGAAGAAATTCTAACACAATCATGTCTTAACACATCATGTGTATGTAAACTTATTATGTACTATAATCATTTATATAATCCCACCACCAACCATAAGCAATAAACATTTTATTCCAAAAATTATGTTCTTTCTCTCTCTTGAAACAGCTTTCACTTTTTATTTAAAACTAAAAAATTGGCTTCAGATATGGATTTTTCGTTTCTGAAATCTTGATATCCGTTACTATTATTCTTTATCAACGGAATATTTGTAACTGCAAATATGTTGCTAATTTGAGGATCGTTGATAGTTACCAACGGATCCTGCCATAGGTACGAGTAAACATTTTACCAGCGAATTTTTCGTTAGTAAAGTGTAAATCTTTTACTAACGAAATTTCCGTTGATAAAAATCTTAATCAATACCAACCGACTTTTCATTGGTAAATGTCTACCATTACAATTGTTAAAAGTCAATGTTATAAATAGCCGCATAGGTGTGAGGCATGGTAAAAAAATATTATTTATTTTTTATTGTTAATATTATTTATTTAATAATTCTAATTTTTTGAACTTTTCGCCAACCGAATTGAAAGGCCGAAATATTGTTTAACCAAAAATTGGATCACAAATTAATTTATAGAGAGCAACTCCGAATATTTTATTGTGAACTTTCGATGTGGGATAAGTGAATTACTTTTACCAACGAAATATCCGTAGGTGAAAAATTCAAATGTTAAACGATTACATGAGGCATGAAATGTCCGTTGGTAAAGAGATATCATCGTTACCAATGAAAAATTTGTTGCTGATTATCGTAGTTGGAAGTGAATTGCTTTTACAAATGGATAATCCGTTTCGAATTGCCAACGGATTGCATCCGTTATTCGTTGGTAATATTTAGTACGTCACCTACAGATATTCTGTAGGTGAAAGATCTATATGTTAAATAATTACATGAGGCACGGAATATCCGTTGGTAAAGAAATATCATCGTTACCAACGAAAAATTTGTTGCTGATTATCGTAGCTGAAAGTGAATAACTTTTATCAATAGATAATTCGTTTTTAATTACCAACGGATGTAATCCGTTGATAATTTTCCGTAGGTGAAAAGCTATTTTTTAGTTGTTAATTTCATCTCTAGCATTAATATAATTCCATTAAGCCTACAATAGTCCATCCAGTAATTATATGATCAAAAAGACTAACCAAGAACAAGGGGAAAGAAAGGTTAGGAGTGAATTGTCCAAATGATCACTGAACTTTGAAAATCACCTCAATAGTCATTAAACTTTGTAAAAGATTTCTACAAGGTCATTGAACTTTGTGAAAGGTTTCCTTAGGAGTCACTGAATTCAGTGACCTCGAGAAAACATTTTGCAAAGTTCAAAGACTTCGTGATTTTTTTTTTTGCAATGTTCAGTGACCATTTAAGTGCTTTTTAAAGTTTGGTGATCCCGTAGGAACCTTTTGTAAAGTTCAGTGACCATTTAGGTGATTTTCAAAGTTCAGTGACTATTTGGACAATTCACTCCTTTTTGAGATAAAAAATAATGGAGTTAAACTGCCTAAATGAACATTTTTTCTTCACTCTATTTGTTGTCAAATCTACTAGAAAATATAAAACAAGTAGATCCTTACCAACTGCGGCATATCAAGGTAAAAAATCCCAACTTAAGCAATAATTCACCAATCGTTGTGCCTATGACAAAATAAGGGTGAACAAAAAAGTAGAACTAGAATTCTCTCCTCATACCTGACACAGTGGAAACAGTTTTTAGGGCCCTCCTCTTGTCTTTTGCGTCTTGTAAGTCCAACTTCAAGATATATTTCTGCAAAATAAATAAATAAATAAAATATGAGAAATGAGGAATAAAAGATCAAAAATCTTAATTAGAACTAAACCATTTTGCAACATCTAGCTAAACCAGATGAAAATATACGTGAAAATCTCTTATTTTGTGGTACAAAATGTTGAGAATTTACACATTCATAGGGAGAATACAATTTCAGAACCGTCAAAAATTCAAGAATTTAAAATAAAGTGATGTACAAAATGAAAACTACCTAAAAGGTGTCGACATGCAAGATTTTATAGTGGATTTAAAGAAAGAATCATTCTTTAAATTGAATAATAACTAAACATGCCATTTTAAAGAGATCCCATAAAGAATCAGAGCAAAAAGGGGAAAGAAATTAAAACTGAATCAAAAGCGGACAGCATCATGTGTGGAATCAAGAATAAGAACCTTCATTTCTTGAGCTTCTGCTTTTAAAAGAATGGGAATATTACTGATCAGAAACCTCAAAGGGAAGAGAGAGACAGAAATGGCTCTGTATTGATGTATATATTCCGTGTTATATAATAGAGAGAATGAATGAAAATGAGAAGCGATGCACGTTTCTGGGACAGTGAAAGGAATTTCTGAAAAGTACGTATAAAATAAAGCCCTTGCTCTTAGAAATAAAAATGGGTGAAATAATATTTTTTTTAAAAATAAGTGGTTGGAAAAGAAAAAAAAAGTTTCAATTTATGTGTTATATTATTTTATAAAATATTGTATGATTGAAAATAAGATAAAAAAAATAAAATATAATGTAATGAAATTTAATGGGGGCCAAACAGGAGCGAAGAACCATGCTAGAGGAAGGCTGTGACTTCGGAGGGAAGAATAATTTTTTATTAAGCAGAATTCACAGCGTGAGAGACGATCACTCCTTTTATCAATCATTTTCGATCATTTTAGCATTAAATAATGTTATTTACAGTGAAAACTATCGGCAGTCGTCCTATGTAGCGTATATTTGGCAATTTTTAATTTGATGTATAATTTAAAAAATAACTATCATATTTATGTATCAAATATCAAATTGTCAAGTGTATGTCACATAGGACGGCTACCGTCAATTTTCACTACGAATAATTTTTACTACGAATAACATTACTCTTTAACATTTTCCTAGAATAAAATAAAGAAGTATCGCTTTCCGTTGGGAGTTTGTATTCATAACCACGCTCAAACATCGGAGCGTGAGACTAACGATGCACACGTGAAATTCAGAGGGTGCCAGGTGGTTTTATGCATATTTTTGTCCCTTCTACTGACAGTTTTTCTTATGGAAAAGTACCTCTGCAAATTGAAACTCAATAATTCAATTCGATCCGAACAAGTTTACCGTTTCCCCTTTTTGGGGTAAAATATACTGTAAAATTATGTTTTTTTGAAGAATATATGATTAAAAAATATGAATTTTTCATTGAAATAAATGTATAATTATTTTATAGGAGAATGTGTGACTGAAACTAAGATTTGAAAAAATACATTCTTGAAAAAATGAGGCTCGAACATGAGTTAAATATCGAACTAAAAATTTAATTTTTGATTCCAGTATTTAAAATCGAAAATTCAAAACAAACTGATTTGTTTTATATATTGAGAATTGTCAATGTACAACCACATAAACGAAGTATTCATTTTAAATTATACTTCATTTCAATTTTTTAAGAATGTGCAGCTATAGACAGAGAAATAAAATAAAGTTTGTAAAGCTGAATGTGTAAGAAGTACGTGAAAATTTAGCCCTCATTTGGCATAAATTAAAATTCAGATTTTAATTTAAGTTAAAATTAACAACTAATTTTAACAACATATTTGTGGGATCCACCACTTTGAAACATACAATTCAACAACTTTTATTAAAATCTACTAAAAATCTGATTTCAATCCACATCAAACAAGGGCTAAATAAATATTTGTACACTTCCTGCCGTTAACATTGATTATGAGGCTATAAAAATGGTTAGGAACCAACTTGCTATTGAAGCAATAGATTGAGGACGAACAGTGAAATCTTAAAAAAAAAAATCTATATGGTTAGATTTTCAAAGATTTTATAAGAAATTTGTAAAAAAATGGTTTGCTGTTTAAGTGGTAAAATAAAATAATATTATTAAAAAAATGTATAAATTGCCTTTTCACTTATATTAGACGCATGGATACATTTTTGCAACATTGACATTATGGTCGTATATCAGTTTTTTGAATTTTCGAACTTTACAATAACATTTGTTGAATACAGTAATTGATGTGGTTAAACTTTCGTTATCATCTCCAACTATTTGTTAATGGGGAGCTTTCAATGCATCAAATTTTTCTGTAAAAGATCTAAATTCTTAAATTAAATTAATATGACAGTACGTATTTAACTTTATAAAAACTAATCTTCCTCTTCACGCACCATCATCTTCATCGATTCGCTTCCTTAATCTACGGGGATTAGGGAAGAAATCTCCTTGAATTTGCAGTCAAAATCACATCCCATTATCTACAAATTGGGGAATTTCTCCAATTCGTCGACATGGACAAATTAGGGGCAAAAAATCGACTCGACTTCACTCTTATGGGGTGTGTATCAAGGGGGGATTTCTCCAGTATATAGGGAGAGAAATCCCCTTGAATTCATTGTTGGTTCGTTGGTGTCGACGAGTCGGGATGATTCTCTGTGTCAATAATTCAAGGAGTTTCTTCCGATTGAGATAGGGACGAAGACGGGTTGGGGGGGGGGTGTTGAATGAGAGGGTAGAGTGAAGAACATGATTAGCTTTTACTTTTCTTTTCACAAGTTAAAATTTACATTGTTCTATTAATTTAACCAAGAGTTTTGATCGGTTGTCAAGTATATTTGTCAAAAGTATTGGTTAATCAAACGTTTCTTTTGTTAAGACTTACGAATTACTAATCTATTTCTTTCCAAATTATGAAGATTCATTTCTCAAAAAACTAATTCATTCCCTAGCTATGAGAAAAAAAAATAATGGATTAAACTTGTCTATAACACCATGTACAAATATATTTGTACCACAAACATTCGTTTATGTTAAAATTGAAAAAATAAATATAGAACTAGTTAACTTGTCAAGTCGAACACAAGCATTATTGGCTAAACTTAAAAATTTAATTGTAAGTTTGAATTAAATCTTTGTAAGCCCTTGCTAAAAACACATAGAGATAGGATTTAATAATTAAATTGGCTAGTCCAATTTAGCATGATGAAAAGTAGAATTGAAGATTATCCTTTCTTTCATATCATGATGTACAACTTTTTGGGTCATATCGAATTATTTAATTTGAATTTGATTTTGATTTTGATTTTGATATTTGAGGATTGGCTTTTTGTCAAGCTAGGGACAGATAGCCGCCCCATGTGTTTCAATCAATGTCTATGGTCACAATAGATAGACAAAGGTAATCGAGTTTGAAAAATAACTCTCTTGATTTCAAAAGTCTCTTATGACATACATTAAAAGCATATTTGCTATATGATATTAATCTCTTGTTCGGGATCCATTAAAATCAATTTTTTGGTCAAAATATATTTTGAAATAGTAATTTTATGAAGAATCATGATTAAAAATGAAGGAAAAATTTTGAATTTATGTATAAAATTATTTTATTGGAGAATGCATGATTAAAAAGAAGAAAGAAAAAATGTATTTTGATTAAAATAGAGTCCAAATTGGGGCTAAATATAATTAATCAGTACAATAAATAAAAATTTAATTTGTTTTTAATTTTTAATATTGTAGATATTATCAAGTCGAGATGGCTAGTCGTTATGATTTCTTCCGTTATGGTATTCCATACATACCAAGAACCATACTTCGAATAGAGAGCACAATGACGCTAATTTGTCCGTAAACTTGTTAAGCAATTTCAAATAGTTATAGCATTAGAAAAACACAAATAAAAATTCACATGTGAATTAGAAAGAGGCTCTAGAATAGTTGTGATGTCAATGATTTGATTGGGGGTTGGCAAAGAAAATAAGCCCCTGTTTGAGCCACATTTTTACCTCATTAAAATGAAAAATATGATCGTTATCCATCACATCAAGCCACCATTTTTGAATTTCTATCTCTGGTGTGGAGCCCATAATGGCTCTATTTCTCATTCTCATTATAATGTGACTCAAACAGGCTCTAAATAAATAAAAAGAATAAGATCCAACTCGATATTTTTTGTTGGATGTCATTTATCTATCTGATCATGACCCGTACGATGGCTCAAGTCATTTTTATGCACTACAAGTTCATTCTATCAGGGTGGCATTCCCAATAATTGTACCCGTGATGCTTTTAAAAAATTATAGGGAACAATACCTTGAAACCAATCAAATCGATCAAAAATTGATCTAATCCGATTATGCTAAGGATTGATTTTGAAACTATTTTGTTCTATTTTCAAGTTACGTTTTTACCGACTTAGTCCTCACCACAAGACAAATTCTTTCTCTAGTAATAACTCAATCTTCTATATTCTTTCCCATATAAATTTCATCTTTCAAAACCCCCTTTGAATATTTACCTAGATTCCGTTTCTAGCTACCTTTATCATTTTTTCCTCAAATGAACATGTTTAAATATATTGTGTTGTCTAGTGTAATAACGGACGATTTATTCATAATGTGAGATAATAACCAAATAGTCACTAAACTTTATAAATTTTTTTTTAAAGGATTATTGAAATTTAAAAATCACCAAAATCATCACTGAATGTTGTAAAATAATTTTATGAGGTTACTGAACTTTAAATATTACTCATTCTCATTCATCACTAAATTTTACAAAAAAATTTCACGGGATCACTAAATTTCATGTGCATGCACTATATGTATAGATGCACCCTCTTGCAGTGTTCAAGTAACCTCACTACGAAAACCCCATAGAAGCCCATATAAAGCCCAATTAAAAGCCCATCTTGTTAGTGAACACTCATTTATAATCCAGGCCTGTTTAAGTCTTTGTTGATAGAGCGACAGAGGAGACAGGGAGATCTTGTATTGCAGTGATTTCTACTCTTCTACTTCTCCCGAGGTAGTTTCAGATTTATCTGCGTAGAAGAATCGCTCTTTATATGTTAATTTTGCACTCGATCTGATTGTTGTGAATGGTTTTTTTTATTTGAACACTACCTCGATCTAAGATTCTCATCTACTAGCTCCTTAAATTTTTTTTTTTTCGAATTTATTGTTAGTTGATGGTAATCTTCCTCTAGCAGCAGAATTTTCTCTTGAACTTTTCGTGTGGTTGTTTATGGTTTCTTGTCGTTTTTAGAACCGGCCTGTCCTCAAGTGTAATCGGTAACAATTTTATCCATTGCTTCTTCAAGTCTTTCCTTTATTGGTAATTTAACTTAAATACTAAAATTTATAGCAATTACTCTGTGTAAACTCAGATCCTCTATTATGGCTTCAATGTCATCTTCACGCCTAAATGTAACTAAATGAATGCTATGAATTCAGTCTCAGCGTGCTTAATCCTATATATTTGAATTTCAAAGTGCAGTTTGAAGTGTCCAACTTATATATATCCCTTCTATTCTTAACAGCCAAAACAGTGTCGCCAATGAATAAAAGACGTCAAAGATAGATTTGATGTCTTATAAGTTCATCCATGAGTAAAACAAAAAGAAATATTGCCACTATTATTTCTTACCCTTGTAATTGATTCTTCATAGACATTTCTCACAAAATATTTTGTAGCATTGCACACATCTTAGCACTTCCCTTGACATTGCAACTTTTGCTCTCACTTCCCTTGACATTGCAACTTTTGCTCTCTCATGATCAGTAAATATTGCATACAAATCTTGCATCTTTTTTCTCTGTGCTTTCTTACCAATCTCCAAAGTGAATAAATCTTCTTGGACCATAAGCTGGATCAAATTAATACTAATAGATCAATAGGAACAATAATACATTGATTTGGCGGGATCAAATTGATACTAACAAACCAATGCACCAATGATATTCATTTCTTTGATAATAGGAATAATAATACAATGTGGCATGCATGTAATTTCTTCTTCTCTGATTGCTTTAGTTTGTATGTAAGTTATGTTCGATTGTTGCCGTGAAATCCAATTTTCTTCATCTACCCCTAATGCTCAATTGATTATATATTTCTTTGGAATAATTACTTCTGAGTAGTAAGAATGCAAAAGGTGAAGTTTTGCCTGTAAATGGGGGAGCCTAAGAGTCTGAATTAACAAAATTTGTAAAATGGGGTTTAGAAGAAAGATGGAAGCAAATGTTAAGGAGGTTATAAAAGTACCTTCATTTAAATGGCATTCACTTTTTAGGAGAATGTAAATCTACCATCATTGTCATTTGCTTTCGAGGATGTTTATTTTTTACAGTTTTTTTATGACTACAAACTGGGTAATATATGTAGATAATGCCAACTAGGTACCTTCTTTTTGTGGACAATCCTATTTAACAATTGATATGAAAACATTTCACAATGAATGCATATTCTTTAAGGGGTTCTTCTTGGATGAGTTAAGATTGGTATACTATTAAACCTTTTCAAGAATTCTTTGACTTGGATGGGGAATGGTGCTAATCTAGAAATTAAATCTCTATCTCCTCTTTTCTGGAGCAATTATTCCAAATTTTATTTCAAACTAAGTACTTAGCTAATAAGTGATCTCTGTCCAAAATGACTCTTACACCCATTTATGAAATTACTACTGCAGGTGTTCTTCACTGGGGTGGTTCTAGAAACAGTATGTCCGGCACAGAGGAAGTCAAAGAGCAAACAGAAGTCGTTATGGAGGACAGTGAAAAGTCCATGCCGTCAACCAAACAGGAGGTCTTGTTCAACTCATCATCCTTTGTGCTATTTCTAGATTTGTATTTGTCATTATCTTTGACAAAATTTCCCCCCTTCTTTATTAGGAAGAAGCTGTTAAGAAGAAATATGGAGGAATCATGCCCAAGAAACCGCCACTAATTTCAAAGGTAATACAGTTACTTTTGATTATGCTTCTATGGGAAGTGCAGGTGCCGAGAACCTGAACATTGTGCAGGTCCAGCTCCATCCTTTTTTAAAATATCTACTTTTGTTGTCAGGATCATGAACGTGCCTACTTTGATTCTGCTGATTGGGCTTTGGGAAAGGTACTTCCTCTTGATAGCACCTTCTCCGACTTGTTCATACTTAGAGCATATAGAAGTTAAAAATTGGCATGCTCTATAAATACCTAACATCCATCAATGTTGTATGATTACAGCAAGGTGTAGAGAAGCCTAAAGGACCTCTCGAGGCTCTTCGACCAAAGTTACAGGTGAATTTTCCCTGGACATGCTACTTCTGAACAGAGTGCAATGACCTTTCATATGCTGTGGCATGAGTTTTCTGTTTTGAATTGCTAGTTTTGGTTCAACACATATATTTTAATTCTTTGGCTAACCAGAAAATTAGCAAAAGCAGAATTTGTCTGCTCAAAAAATTAATTTTTGCTCTATATGATTAAATGATGAATAGCTAATGTTGTGAAAGTGTCGCTGCTTTGCTTGTTGATATATGCTGATGAGTCCATAAACGTATTCTAATGCAAGTAAATCTTTCCGTTGGACATCTACTGCAACTTAATGTTTCTGACTGTGAGAAGTCAATTATGATATTTAATGGAGCTAATCTGTATATATATATACACACAACTCTAGCTGTTTCCCTCTTTTTTCCAATGTTTACTATTTTGAAGTTGCATATGATTCCCTTTCATCTAAATTACAAATAATGGTGGACCCTGAAGTGCCTGATTGACAATATGATCTTAGAACATGGATTTAATGTTTATGTGATGATGATGATATTATATATCACAAGAAAGCTAAAATTTTGATTTAGCTTTATAGTCACACGAATAAATGGATGATTTAACTGAATCCAATAATATATTCAGCCCCTGTTTGTTTTCCATTCTTTCTTCATTAAAATGAAAAAGATGACAATTATCCATCACATCAAGCCGTCAAATTTGAATTTCTATCTCTTGTGTGGGGTCCATAACGGCTATATTTTTCATTCTTATTTTTACAAAAATGGGAAACAAACGCCCCCTCAGTAATTGAATAGCTTCTTTGATCGATTTTCATTCTAAATATAAAGCTGTTCTTCCTCAGATCTGATTCTTTCTGCCAAATATGAATATAACTCTTCTCAAAAACTGTCAGGGTTGCAATGAAGGTTAATTACATCAAAAAGTTAAAATTGACATTAGTGCTGAGATAGAAAATGGTCGTCTTTCACTTCATTGTGTTATCATCAGAAAGTTGATGAGCCTTGAGACTAGTAGATTTCTGCACATAAATTTTATGATCATCTGCTGATTATCAATTGCTTCCTTTTTCACTTGATGTTCTAGCCAACTCAACAGCAAACACGATACCGCAAATCTCCTTATGCTCCATCAGCAGGTGAAGGTATGGATTGTAATTGATCGTATTTCTTCATGGATTTGCCTGTTCATTTAGATACTTCCATTTGTTTTTGGTTTTTTTTTTCATCCTCCTCTTGCTGTTTTTGTTTTATTTTTTTTCACAAGTAAATCGTGTTTTTAAGAATCATTTCACACCCGGTGGGATGGTAAAACTCAGTTCCCCAGTTTTCTCCCAAAATGGCATCTCTTACTAATTTTCTTCTTCGCTTCTATCTTTGTGTAGATGGAAATACTTCCCCATCGGAGGAGGCGACAACAAATGAATGAAAATTAGGCTTCGATCCTTTTCTCGTCGAGGCCATTGATTGTTACTCAACTTGATGTATAAATGAGTGACCTGCTACTGAAATAAAAAACTTGGACGATCTTCAGTACTTCTTTAGGAAGAATTCACCAACACATTGTAATTGGTGCTGTAATTTTCCAGTCTGGAGTACTTCTTAATCTTGTTCCTGTTGTGGACTATTTTCCTGCTATACTGTCAAGATTTCGGACCATTTATTCGAGTTTCTAAGCAGTTCTATTATTACCCTATTAGAAACCATCTCATACAAAAACTTAGATGTTCGATTTTTCATCTTCTAAATAACCCTTCATGTCCAAATTAGATTCATGTTAATTTGAAGGTTTTATATGTGGACAAATTTTCATAATGACAACTTGAATTCATTCTTTGATACGATGTCAAATTATGCATATTGTAAAAATGCAAAAGGGAAATCTCAGAAGCTGTTGGTTCGCCAAAAATTTAGGTGAACTGGAGCCAATTTTATCAGTTCATTTTACTAAAAAAGACTAATTTTTTTTATCTACGGCTTCAACTTCAATGCGAACCATGAAGCTTTCAAGGCGATTTTTTAAACATTGGTTATTAGAGGTGAAAAAAAAAAATTATTTTCAAGAGTTGACCATCCGATGTGCCCATAGTGATGGCAATGCGGCTCGGCCCTTTAACCTATGAGCTTGACTCGGGCTTGTGGCTCGTCCCTTGAATTTGGCTCAGCTTGGTTCATGAGCTCGTGGTCTCACGAGCCACGAGCTCGCAGGCTGAGCCGAGCTCACGAGCTTGTGATTTTTTTAATTTTTTTTTTTGGGTAAATTTGCACATTTTTTACTTTTTTTTTAAAATTTTTATTTATTATAAATTTGCATTTTTTTTACTAGCCCATGAGCTCGGCTCATGGGCACACGATCCACGAGCCGAGCATGCTCGGCTTGTGGGATTGAGCCCTGCTCAGTGACGAGCCCGAGTCGCCCACGAGTCTAAGGGCCAAGTTGATGAGTCGCTCAACTCGTTTGACATCCCTAAGTGCCCATCGAACAAGGAACGTTTAGAAGAAACCAAAATGAATACTATTGAGTCAGGTGAATTAAGTAATAGATGCCTGTTGAAATTCAAACCTGCCCAGTCCTTCCAGGGCCTTCCTGAAAGAGAATCAATTATTCCACATTCAAGATTCAGACACAACAACATTTGAAACCCTTGTTTGATAATCATTCTTTCTTATACTCATTTTCGATCACATATTCTTAAATCTTTAATGCTCAAAAGTGTTCAAATCATTATAAAATTGTCATGTAATTCAGTAATTGTCGTAGAAATAGTTCTCTTAAAGTTGAAAACCAAGATGAACTTCTTAAAGATAAACACATATGAATAGCAAGTTAATTAAGCAATTAGTTCCTGACTTCCAATTTACTTGTGAAATTAATATTTAATAATTGAAACCTTTCAAATCTTTATAAAATATCATTTGATCATCATTAGCCCTCATTTATTCGAGTTTCTAAGCAGTTCTATTATTACCCTATTAGAAACCATCTCATACAAAAACTTAAATGTTCGATTTTTCATCTTCTAAATAACCCTTCATGTCCAAATTAGATTCATGTTAATTTGAAGGTTTTATATGTGGACAAATTTTCATAATGACAACTTGAATTCGTTCTTTGATACGATGTCAAATTATGCATATTGTAAAAATGCAAAAGGGAAATCTCAGAAGCTGTTGGTTCGCCAAAAATTTAGGTGAACTGGAGCCAATTTTATCAGTTCATTTTACTAAAAAAGACTAATTTTTTTTTATCTACAGCTTCAACTTCAATGCGAACCATGGAGCTTTCAAGGCGATTTTTTAAACATTGGTTATTAGAGGTGAAAAAAAAAATTATTTTCAAGAGTTGACCATCCGATGTGCCCATAGTGATGGCAATGCGGCTCTGCCCTTTAACCTATGAGCTTGACTCGGGCTTGTGGCTCGTCCCTCGAGTTTGGCTCAGCTTGGTTCATGAGCTCGTGGTCTCACGAGCCACGAGCTCGCAGGCCGAGCCGAGCTCACGAGCTTGTGATTTTTTTAATTTTTTTTGTTGGATAAATTTGCACATATTTTACTTTTTTTTAAAAAAATTTTATTTATTATAAATTTGCATTTTTTTTACTAGCCCATGAGCCGAGCTCATGGGCACACGATCCACGAGCCGAGCATGTTCGGCTTGTGGGATTGAGCCGTTGCTCAGTGACGAGCCCGAGTCGCCCACGAGCCTAAGGGCCAAGTTGATAAGTCGCTCAACTCGTTTGACATCCCTAAGTGCCCATTGAACAAGGAACGTTTGAAAGAAACCAAAATGAATACTATTGAGTCAAGTGAATTAAGTAATAGATGCCTGTTGAAATTCAAACCTGCCCAGTCCTTCCAGGGCCTACCTGAAAGACAATCAATTATTCCACATGCAAGATTCAGACACAAAACAACCTCTGAAACCCTTGTTTCATAATCATTCTTTCTCATACTCATTTTCGATCACATATTTTCAAATCTTTAATGCTCAAAAGTGTTCAAATCATTATAAAATTGTCATTTAATTCAGTAATTGTCGTAGAAATAGTTCTCTTAAAGTTGAAAACCAAGATGAACTTCTTAAAGATAAACACATATGAATAGCAAGTTAATTAAGCAATTAGTTCCCAACTTCCAATTTACTTGTGAAATTAATATTTAATAATTGAAACCTTTCAAATCTTTATAAAATATCATTTGATCATCATTAGCCCCTATTTGACCCTCATTTTCAAATATTTAGTTTTTATCATTACTCAGTTTCAATTATATATTTTATGAGGCTCAAAATTTTATCAATTTTTTAAACACATTTTATTAAACCCTTGTTTGACCTCCATTATTTTCAAATACATTTTTCTCTCACTTCTTTGTAACCACACATTTTTCGTTAAAATAATATGACGTGTAAATTCAAATTTTTTTTCTTATTTTTTAACTACACGTTCTCTATTAATCTACTATTCAAAAATGTATTCTTATGATAAAATGAGGCTCAAATAGGCCATAATTATTATTAAAATAAACTAAAAATATGATTTTTATTTTTTTTATTTTTTTAAAACTAAACCAAATAACATAAATGATTATCAATTCACATTATTATGTACCAATTCAAGTGAGTTGAGATTTGTTATTCATTTTGTTGTCTACCCAATTACAATTTGATATATCATGAAAAATTAAAATGATCATCACTTTTAATTTTTCAACCTTAAAATCAATTTTAATTTTTCATGTTGTGTCAATTTGTAATTGGGTGGACAGTAAATTTGACAGCATAAATGGACAAAAAATCTCAAACTCAGTTCAAGCAAGACTAACTTCATAAAAATTACATTAAATTTTTTCGTCAGTAACAAAATTGCTCCTTTTAAATTGTGGGACCAATATTCTGATAGGATAATAGGTTGGGGATCAGCTGATAAATTTGCCTAGCAAAATATCATTTGGCCTACAAATTTACTACATTTATATCATGATTGATAGTTTTGTTTACACTCTTTGTTATGACACGTAGTTTTACTATTAATTTTAATAACACTGATTCAAATTAATAGCTTCGATTTTGACACCTCAAAGGGTGTCAAATTAGTTGTACACAAACAACTAGCATAATTCTTTGAATAAAGTTAAGTGTATAGAGTCATTGTTTGAATTCCATTCTTTTAAAAATTCATTATTTTTAAATTTATTTTTAATTATACATTCTTCAATAAAATAAATGTTACACTCAAATTTAAAACCTTTTCTTAATTTTTAATCACACGTTCTCCATCAATCTACTGTTCAAAATGTATTATTTTCTTCAAAATGGGGATTAAAGAAGGACTACATGTATAACTGATGATGGACATTAGCTTAACCACAAATTTTAAGGATTTTTGTTTTTAGCTAATACTGTAAGAAATTGCGTCGTTGTGACTCGAGATTGCCTGATTGATTTAGAAACTGGAAATTAATTGTTAACAAATTAAATGAGAAGTAATTAGTTGGGCTCGAACGATTATTTATAACAAACACATGTTCCCACAAAAGTTATGACTATTTGCAGGGACGGTGCCTGCTCAATGTCGAATGGTCTAGAAAGTTGGTGAGTAATGACTGGGAGCTTTGTGTTAATTAAGCCACGTTTGACGTCCATTACATCAAAAATCTTTTTTTTTTCTTTTTTTTAATTCATTTTCAATGACACATTCTCACAATAAAATATGTTGTACGTAAACACAAAAAAATTACCCTATTTGAGCCACATTAATAGAAAAATGAAAATGAAATATATAGTCGTTACAAATCCCATACAAGAAATAGATTTTCAAATATGGTTGCTTGATGTGATGGATAACAGTCATATTTTTCATTTTGATGAGTAAATAATAAGAAACAAACGAGAGCCTAGTTTTTATCCACACGTTTTTCAAAAAATCACTATTCCAAAATTTAGTTTCCTCCAAAAACTCATTTTAATTGATTTTAAACAGGAGCTAAATGCCAAATGAATAATAATATTTCTCACTAGTGGATTGATGGTAATTTGGCAGGAAATTGTGATAATTCTGATCGAACTCAATAAATATAGAAGGGTAATTGAACATGGTAAAAATGAAAAATGCTATTCAACCAAGTGCAAAACCAAGCTCAAAAACAGAGCTCAGATCTTAGATCTGGAAAAAAAAAAAAAAAAAAAGTGAAATTGGGGACTGAGGTGACCCTGTTTTTGAGTCTGGCTCAATAGTAGGGCTAAAGTAGCAATGGACAACGCAACAAAGCTATGGCTATTGAGTATGACTTAGGGGAATGGATAATGAATGTCGGGGTAAGACTACTAGCTCCGTCCCTCTCCAAAGTGCTTATCGGTCCACTTAGATGCAAAATATCTTTGACAAAAGGAAGCGAAGCTACAGGGTGCTCCTCCGTATGCAGAGGACTTGTCTCTAATGGTCAAGTTATGGTTTTATAATTTTTATTATTTCAACACCACATGCTATTCATTTAATTTTATTAGAAACTTTAAATTTTGTTTGCATTTGCACAATTATTATCTAAAGTCATATCGTGCTTGAAATTGTAAATGACTTCACAACGAGTTTTATTGTGTATATAACGTATCTAATTTGACTTCAGAATAGGTTTATTGTGTATATAACACCTCTAATTTTGAACATTCACTAAGTTACTCACACACAATAATGCTGTTGACTTGTGAATATCAACAAGAAAAAACTAAGCGCGATGTATCAAAAAAGAAGGGAAATAAAATATTCTCGTTGGAGACTTGCATGGATAAAAACTTATTTGAGTGTCGTTTTCAAAAACCAGCCATAAGAATAACTTGTGAGGAAAATGTCCGACTACTAAACATTACACTTCATATTACAGAGCTGCCGATTAATCCGCCCTAAAGTTTTCTGGGGATTTGGGGGTTTTCTCCAAGTATAATCTTATTAATATTCGATCATCAATTCACGCTACTTCGTTCAGTTAAACGTTTAACTGAGTCAATGGCAGCATCTATGTCCAGTCAGATGGGGAACATTTATGGTGTGTTCTCTTTGCCGTTTTCTATTTTTGATTTTTCAAAACGGTGAAAACACGTTCTTTTTTCCGTTTTCGAAAATGAATTTTCGAAAAAAAAATTGTGAAGAAAACACAAAACGACATTTTTGTCGTTTTGGACATTTTCAGTACAAAAAAGGAAAAAAATTGAAAACACGGGAATTGGTTCCAAAATGACGAAAAGAACGTATTTTCAACAATTTCAAAACAGACACTCAAAATACAAAATCTAAAATGAATTTAAAACTCAAAACTATAAAATTGAAATATGAAGAGAACAACCCCCCTGGTTTCTTCCAAGAAAATTTATCTTACCTGGTGCTATTGACATTATATGCTAATTAGAGCCTTTAAAAAACAGAGTTGATTGGAAATAAAGAGCACTCACGTTCCATTGAAATTGAAAACGATGGTTTTAACTTCCCCCAAAATATTAACTTGGTAAAGGGATGGATTTCAAGCAGAATCAATATCATAATGAAGCAGAGTGCAACCATGAATCTAAGATAAGGAAGTTTGTGTTTGTTACATGTTCAATTTCGCTATTTTATCCCCTATGCTCTGTTCTCCGTGCTTTAATGCATATTGAAGATAACTACCTTCAGTTCAATTGATTTTTCACCCCTAACCGGACTCATTCGCCAATTGATTTCCGACCTCCACCAATTCTCTGTCTTGTTAATGCCTTCGAACGGCTGTCAGTTTTCATTTTGCTACTATAATACACAAAATACCTGTCAATTCTTTATATATATATATATATATATATATATATATGAACCACGATTTTCCTTGTAAATATCTTCTGCTAGGAAAAATTGAAGCCATAAGAATTATGCTCTACTAGG